TGAGGTGTTGGAAGCGCTTTTCTCTCCTGCTTTCTCAGAATTCGATAGCCCTTGTCTGCAGAGATTATAATTCAATTTGACATTTGTCCTATAGATAGATTACCTTTTCCTAGCAATAAACTAAAGTTACTAGGTCTAGGAACTGATACTGGTGCTATTGATTACTAGGTGCAATGTTTTCACAAACCCAGACAGGAGTAAATGAGGCTGTTCTCTGGTTGCTTTTGGAGGTAATTGTGAATGACTGCCTTTCTGCCCTTTAAAGGGTCTTTCAGCATCAGTGGCACTGGCAGGACACACAGGGCATAGGCATAATTCTCTTGAAGACCTTTTATCTCTTAAAAGGGCATTTTCTGCAGGAGTTACTCTGCTTACAACAAAATCTAGCATTTGTGTTTCCACTCCTTTCGTTGCTAACAAAGTGGAGTCAGTATGCTTTTGGTGAAGCAAGGACTGAGAGCAACAGAGAGGACAGCAGGGTCCTATGTCAGCAGCTGGCTTAGAACTGCCTCCTCAGCTCGGCATCAAAGCCAGGTTCCTGCTTTCATCATGTTTATGTGAGCAGGTATTAATTATCACAGAATTACTTAGGTTGGAAGGGACCTCTCAAGTCATACGGTCCAAGTCTTTGTTCAAAGCGGGGCCAGCTTCGAAGCCAGCTCTGGGTCACACCAGTGTCATCTGCAGCTGACTTCTGAGCACCTTCAAGGATGGGTGTTCCACAACCTCTCTGGACCCCTGCCTCAGTGCTTGACAACCCTCATATTTATCTTTTTCCTAATAACTAATAAGAATTTCTCTTGCTGCAGTTTCCGCCTTGTCCTTTTACTGCAGGATATCGTCAGACCCCATCTGTTTTGACAAGATATCTTTGTTCTCACTTTGTCTACGGGGAGGCCATAGCTCCCCATGATGGATACCTTACGACTGTCCCTGCCATCCCAAGGGTAGACTCGTGTAGCCTACAGTTAAAAACAGCTTAGTAATGGGGGGGGGGGGGAAAGGCAGAAGATGGCAGCTTTCCTCCTCAGCAAGCTCTGGCAGCGTGAGCACGTTACTGTACTGTGCTCATAGATCCACGCTGGTGCTCGAGCAGAGTAGAAAGGATCAGATCTCAATGAACTGCTACTTCACGTTTGGTTAGGATCAGGAAAGGCACTGACAAAGGTGTAAGGGGAAGTTTATTGAGCGTATAACTTATCTTTATTGTTATTTTATTGGCTACATTGCATTAGAAGAAATTCAGATGTTTTTAAGTGCAGGACAGTAGCTCTGAGTGGTATCATGGGATGAGCAACATTTTCATGATGATCAGGAGACCTCATCTTAGCTTCGGCTCTCCCAGTCTGTAGAGCACTCTGCAGGTCCCTCGTGTCTGGTAATTGTTAAAATGGGAAATGAGAAGAGGACTTGAGAATGAATTTTTATTTGGGAGAGAAAAGAGCTGATCTGGAAAATCAGCTGAGTGCACTACCCTCTTTCCAACACTGTAGTTCAGGGCAAGGAGCTTTCCTTGGATTGGAGTTCACATCTAGTTGTCAAGCGTTTATTTTATATTTATAGTTTAAAGAGGAAATTAAATTATACATGAAAAGCAACATTTGTCAAAAGACCCCATGTAACGGCTGTTGAGATGTCACAATTTTACCCTCTTGAAGAAGAAAATAACTGTGGTATCTTGAACGAGTTGCTATTTGTTGATTATTTTCTTTCCAGTAACAACATCTGTCAGTAGAAGAAATCAATTTTGTTCCTGCTTAGTTTGAACTTCTTGTCCTTTTTCTTTTTTTAAGTTGAACTGCAGAACACAACTTTATTTCCAGAGCATGTTCCACCCCAACACTGACATGGGGATTCTTGGCTGATGCTTTAATTAAAGCTGAATTCTTTGCTCAGCTTCTTCAAAGGCAAGAAGAGATTTCTTCTGCCAGAAAAAAAGCATAGAATTCCCTCCTTCTCCTGCTCCAGAATAGCAAATACAAATGGTAACATCGTTGTTATAGGTGGAGAAAAATTCAGAATTTACCTCTGAATTCTTGCAACTGCACTGCAACTGTCATCTCTAAAGCCCCCGTTTCTTTGTTTATTTGCGTTGTTTCTGCCAGGAGTGCTAACGACCCTTCTGTTCCGTTCGCTGCTGCACTTATTAGTAGATTTACACTAAAAAGCTTTCGTCATTTAAACTCCCACTCCAGTCAGTGGCATTTTACCAAAAAGAGCCCCAGAATGACCCCGTAAGTGTTATTAATATACAATGCAGTTCAAAAAGCAACTGTCTGCCACATGATAATACTAATGCTTTTTCATTTTTTCATTGTATTGGACTAAACTGAACTCTAATACTGTGTTCAAACACTGTACCGTGCCAAATTGCCTTTTTCCCTCTTATCTAAGAGGAGACTCAAGCAATTATTTATTGCTCCAGTTAGCAGCAGCTCAAATTAACCACCTGAATTTTTCATGTTTTTAACAGAAAGCTACAGATCGCATCCTCATCCCAATCTTAGCTCATTTTTGCAAACGTAACCTTATCCAATCTAGTTATAAACATAAATCATATGTCAGTCTGTTCAATTTATAAAGTTTGATGGACTATATATATTGTGCTATATGGGCAGTTGTAATGGAGCATGTGCTATATAGTCTCCATTTAAAAATTTTTCATGAACTTACCACATTTTTCCACCTAATTTATCAATTTCTGTAAGTATATTTTTCATGATCAAATTAATAGTAAATCACTCATTTTGCTTATTCATTATTGAGAATTCACAATGTATTTTGATTAGACATGACAGTTCTATGGGGTTTTGGGGGTTTTGACAGTAATTTCTAGAATCAGGTTTCTCGAGTAATCTTTCACATTTAAAAAATCAATGTTCAGGGTGACATTCTTTTCTGACTAATGTCTCGTTATTTAAAATTTAAGCCAAGTGAAGTCCAGACATCTGTGCTCTGGCCATAATCAGTGGAGATAGATACCAACCCTTAGAGGCTGATTCATCTTCTATTTCTTAAATACCTATCTTAGCATGGGCTGAGTTGTTCTACAGAGGTGCTTGTCTCTTCAGTCACTGCAGGGACAGCCCTTATAAACTAAACCACGTGCCTGACTTACAGAAAGCAGTAAGATTAATCCACTGCCTCTCTATGTCCTCTTCAATATAGTCACCGAGTTCACTGCTGGTAATAGCAAATACCTGGTACGTCTCAAAGTCCTAAAACTTCATCTCTTGGTATTCCTCCCTGCGTTTCCCGAAGTCTGCCCTAGTGAATGGTCTGTATTAACCCCTTGCATCACTCTGCCAGACCTCTTTCAAAACTCCTAACTAGGCACAACAGCTGGGAGATGGGGAGAAGGAAGAGATGGAGTCAGTCTGGACTGTGCATATGGATTTCTTTTTCTTCTGCAGAAACTAGTGAATGTGACATTATTAAACTTTCAGCTACATAATGGCTTCGTGTCTCAATAAATAAATCTTCGTGTGGAATCTGGAGAGTTACAACACTTGGTTAAATTAGAAATTAAAAGTAGTATGCTAATTTATAGTGGAAATCGTATGAAAATATATACTACATCGCTGTGAATACAAAATAATTTCCTTATGACTAATGATATTACAGTGAGTACCAACTGAATTAATAACCGTACAATACTTAGTGCAGGGAGTTTTTAATGCACCAGTCATTCATTTGGCAATTTTTAAAGTTTAGCTCTTTTGCAATAGAAGCACAGAAATCACCTGAATATTAAACAAATGTGTCACTGTTTCTTCTGGACGTAAAATTAAGTACAAAATACGTGGGTGGAAAGGGTATTAGTAACAATATGCAATAAGTACTTAAAGATAATTTACTCATTTCAGATTCACTGTAATAGTATTAATCATGCTGAGCTGATTTGGTGTTAATGTAGATGAAATATGTAATTCTGCAGCAGGTCTTTTGCAATGTCACATTAACAAATGCCTCCTCACATACAAACATTTGTTATTTTTCAGTAAAGAACTTTGAGGAGGCAGTTTCCATCTTTGGCAGGTGTATGAGCGCCCAATATATTCAGCTGCAATTTTCTTCCCTACAAATAGAATTAACAGCTCAAAAAAAAAATATAAGGGGGGGGTGGATGAAGCAATTCACATGGAAAACATCAGGAAAATGGATTGCCTTGTTTTTCTCAGAAAGCAGTAGCAAAAACCAACGTGGAACTGATGTGCTCATTTCACTTTGTTTCATTTAGGGATATATTTAGAGTAGCCCCGAGGTGAACTAGGACACATGAACCGGCGCGGCGCGGCCGTGCACCCAGCAGTTAATTCCCATCTGTTATTTGTTGTCTTCCACATCCTTCATATTTATGACATAGCGTGAGCAGTTCTCAGTAAGGTAAAAAGTGGTAAAATGGCTATTACCGATGCAATTCTGCCATCAAGAAATCAGGGAAGGGAGGCTTTTTGCTCAGCATCCAGAAGCGATTACCGGGGTGCACGAACTGGTCCGGGCTGGGTTCAGGAGCACGAGTTCCACCCGAGCAGCGCTGGAGAGCTGGCCGCCTGCGGTTCACTGCCACGGGTTGAGGATCCCAAGGCAACACGTCGCTGTGACCCTCAACCATCTCTTCCCGCATCATCCCCGGGACAGCACTGCACGTAGCACCGCGTCTGAGTCTTCCTCTGCTCCGAGCGGTGGGTCGGGAGGTACGGCTGATGCACAAAGGTGGTCCCAGCTTTCTTGTGCAGGCAAAGCTGCAGGTGATTTAAAGGAGAACTTCAGCTCACTGTTGATGAAGATAGCACCAGGAGATTGAGATAAATAAAGCCTTTGGAAGGGAAACAAAAACGATGGGCAGCAGTTGTGCTCATCACTTACTTTGCACAGGCGTTTGCTTAACTTTATTTTCTTTTTTCTTGTTTTTCAGGAAAGCGCTCGTCCGTTCTGCATCCCAGATCTGACTTTTAACAGTGTGTGCTTTGTTTTGCCTTATTTGTTTTCTCCTGCAGAGCCAAGTTCCCATTACGTGATTTCCTTAAAGGCCTTTAACAACGCAGGCGAAGGGGTGCCCCTGTACGAAAGTGCGACCACCAGGTCGATGACAGGTGAGTTGCAAACGCTGGTTCGTGATCTGCTCCCCATGGGTGAACGTTAGCCTTACAAAGGTGCGCATTAGGCAAAACATTTTGGTCAAGGCAACGGCAGAAAAATGCTCTGCAACCTCCAGGTCCCTGCTAGAATAAACCAGCTTCATTTTCCACTTTATTGTAACTACGCAGATAGAATGAATTATTTACCTTTTCCAGAAATTGGCTGTATAAATTTAATGGGATGCTCACAAGTGCTTGCTCTTTGGTGCGGGTTGGCTTGGGAGAAGCATGACTCCCAAACAATTTAAATAGTTAAAGATCAGGGCAGAATAGTGGTGAATAACTTTGCTGAATTAAGCCCAGATGAAATTATTATTTTTTTCTTCATTTTTAAAGCAGTTTAAATTAAAATGAATTCGTTAAAAACACACTGTCATCATGCACATTTACAGAAGCATGTAGAGGGGTTGCAAAAGGTGAAGGAATATACCGATAAGATTCTCCCAGCAGGATAAGGCTTGCAGAAGGGATTACCCAGCAGTAATGGAGCAGGGGGCTTTTAGGCAGCTGTTTTTCACAGATGGATTCTTGGGACGCTAACAAAGTTATAAAATCAGAATTATTCTTGTGTAGCACTGTCTTCCCGACTGCCTCATGGTTTCTCTGCAATCATGGTGTGTGGGTGGGACTGACGAGGGGGGACTGAACAGAAGTGAGAAAAAAAAAATGTGTTTTTCCTCTGGAGCGACACCATCGTTTGGCGATGTTTTTTTCTCGCGTTTCACCCATGGTGTTCAGAGCTGCCTGGAAGGGGAGCTGTGTCACTGAGAGCAAACCCGATCACTGACGCTGGCGTGGGTGGACCACGAGGAATAAATCAACCAAATGGCACTTCTGTGGCTCTACAAGGAAAAACAGCTTTTAGCCGTATGGTTTTGTGAAGTATTCCCATGAGAAATCTTGGAAAGTCAGAAGGAGAAATAAGAAAAAGGAGATTAATTACACAATTAAGGGCAACCGTAACAAGCTACATTAGATATAGAAAGTTTCAGGGAACTTCTGGCTCAAAATTATTAATCTTTCTTCTTGTCTGGAGTCTATAGAGGTTTTTTGCTGAGTGTGTGTCTTGTAAAATCTTTTTCCAGTGAGTTTTCCTCAGGATCCATATATATTTTATTTTTATGGTTTTTGTTCCCTTCAATTCTATTTAAAAATTACCCAGCTGCCCTGTGGGGTTTATTTTATGTCTGTATATAACCTCTCATAAACAAAACGATATCCAGGTACGAAAAAGGTAATTCAGGCTTGGGCTCTGTTTGATGAACCGACCTGATGATCATCTGCGAGAAGTCCACCTCGGTGCTTCTCTCTTACTGCTGAGAGACGTCCGTACCCGGGGCTTCCCACCACCTCCCACCCACGGGATGCAGCCTCTGAAAGGAGCCGGTGGCCTGGGTCGTTCATGGAGGAACATCTCAAAAAAGGCTTTTAGCAAAGCAGGACAGCACAGGAACTGTGTTCCCCAATTAGCGGATGAGCTGACGCACCCCGGGCACCAAAGAAAACCGAAAACTGTGTCTTTGTGTGTCCGTTTGGCATATACGTAGACATACTTTGGTGTCTGCTTGTGTGGGTATGGTGTGCAAACTGAAGTTATAGTAACATGCAATATTCACAAAACAACTCCAAAGAGAGCAAGAAAGTATTTTCTGTCAAGAGATTGCAATTTCCAAATGACAGATGTCCATGCGTAAATAATAGCAAATGAGACTTTGGTGGAAAATGGAGGCAGTATTTAGGGACCTATTTTCAGCCACCGGTGGATTATAGACGTTTCCCTCTTCCTCAGGTCAGTGGTGACGTGTTTCAGAAACTGCATTATCTTGATTGCTCGAGTCTGACCATTTATTTTGCTAAACCCAGCCTCCCTTCATAATCTCTACAGCAGGACTTCAGTTTTCAGTATGGGAAAGAAAAAGAGAAAGGATGTGTGGTAATTGCTAAAATACCAGCTCAGCTCCAGTCACATCAACTTCCATCATAAGTTTGTAAAAAAACCCAACAGAAACAGGTATTGCTCACCTTCCAAAGTTTACAGCCAATTCTTTTGGAAGACTTCAGTTCAGGAAAAGAAACTGTTAGCTTTCAACTTGCAGAAGCTCGATTCACCAGATTGGGGCAAAAAAGAGATTCAGCTGCCCGTTCCTCCCCGTGTGGATCGTGTGTTTGAGTTTCGGATCACTGCAACAGCAACCGGGCTGCTTCATTTCCTTCAACACTCATATTCAAACTTCTTATAAAGCAGCTTTTGATGAAAGAAGCAACACAAGAAGCAGGTCGAACTTAGTGGCTTATCATACATTTTAAACGTCCTTGTCTCCTCTGGTTTTCCTTCCGAAGGCTGTGACCTCCCGAAGTTCTGAGTAAGAATTACAAAACCGTAAAAAACAGGGATGATCAAAGAGTGTCAGGAGCTGGAACTGCACATGGAGCAGACAAACTGTGGCAACTGTCAGTAAGGAAATATTAGAGCCATTTATGCTTTGATTAATTAATTAGCACATTATTTTGGGGGGGAAAAAAAAAAACAAGCAACCTTTTGGTGTGCTTTTGCTGCACTTTACCCACTGCATTTTAAAATTGTATTTAGAAAAATCACAACTGGTAAATAATAAGTCAGTAAGTATAGTTTTAAAAGATAGGCCAGAAGTTGACTGGGTGCTTCAACAAGGACAGAGGTATTTAAACCGAGTAGAAACGGTCTCTGGTTCCCCCGTGGGTGCCACCACCGTGCAGCCCCAAAGGGCAGAGGCAGAGCCCCGGAGAAGCCAAGCGCGTGGGTGTCATCGGGGCCGAACCGAGCGCTGATCAGGAGAGGAATTCTGTACACGGGTGGCAGGTGGTTTTTTCCCCGTGACTGTAACAGCGGTCATCTGCTGCTGACCCAACGTCTGGTTCCTCTCTCACGCCACCATAACTCAGAGGAACCTCCTCGGCAACGAAGCAGAAGGAGAAGCGTGGCCACAGTTAACTGGATGTGTCAGCACGCCACTCAGATCTGAACTTTTGGAAATGAAATGAAATGTGCCACTGTCTCGATAATTAAGCCAGCCAGAACTTTCCTCTGACATTGCATACTGCACCGCCATGGTATGCGCGTGGTGCTCAGCGTCTTGCTCCCCAGAGACCAGCCCGTCACAGCCGCATGGCAGAGGAACTGTGCTTGTTCCTCGAGGAAGAAGCCCGCTTGCAGATAATCCACATCTCCACGCCTGGATGTGCGTATTTAACACGCTGACAGTGTTAAACCAACAATTGCAAGATCTTCACTTCAGCAGTGAAATTGTTATGTTCTGTTTTGCCTAACAAACGTTTAAGCAGATGCAGAATAAGTTCCTTTCAAGAGCCTTAAACAACAACAGAGCCTGAAAGAGGCTGCCAAGAGAGGAAAGCGTAGGTAACTCCTACACATGTGAGAGTATGTCATGTCTATAAATCAGACTGGAAGATGACACACTCTCCTCTTTGCAGGTGTTTCCAATAATGTATCATTTAAGTGATTCAATTTCTTAAGAAAATGTAAATCATTTTAAGGAGAGGCACTGTGTATTGACTTCATCTCATGTGAAGAAAACACAGCGTACCTGGAAGTGTTTAAACAAGGCATGAAAAATAGCACTTAGCACTGGTTAGTTTTGTTGTAGTGATGTAACTGAAATGTTGCTGGTGCGTTCTCATTTTGCATTAATGCCTTTCTTTCTGTTCTCCTCATGTTCCTCCTCCTCATTAATGCCATGCATTTAACCCATTGTGATGTGTGCCCCTTGGTGGCTGTTTGTGTTTTGTTTTGTTTTGTTTTTCTGTTGAACTTACCTATTCATTTATTTTGGAATGCTCATTTGGTGATGTATGGACCCAGACCCCATTGATCCATTAGAAGTTGATTTTTATCCTTTGCTTGATGATTTCCCTACCTCAGTCCCAGATATCTCCACCCCCATGCTCCCACCAGTAGGTGTCCAGGCTGTTGCACTTACGCATGATGCAGTGAGGGTCATCTGGGCAGACAACTCTGTCCCAAAGAACCAAAAGACTACGGAGGTTCGCTTCTACACAGTCCGATGGAGAACGAGCTATTCGACGAGTGCTAAGTACAAGGTGAAATTTTAACACGTTATGAATTTATGAGCTGTATCATCTGTTCATATTTTATTTGCAAAGACTCTGAATTGACTTTTATGAACTTCCCTCAACCAAAATTCCCATTTCAATCAAAAGGAGACTTGCCTGAATAACTACTGCTTCCTAGAAACCTATGTGTTTAGTTGGATGAAAACGCTGTATTTTAATTCTACATGCCAGTTATTGAAGATTTTGACCTTTAATCTTTACCAATCAGAAAGAAATTAGTCACAGATTTGGTAACACAATAGTGTGGCATGAATAGGAAGAGGTACCAACTGCAAATCCACCCACACCGTATGGCAATTCCACTCACCCATATTACATATTCCCAAATAGCAAAAAATGAAGGTTAGTTTATGAGAAAACTCAATCTCAATGGTATGACAGCAGCATGCTACTTTCTGTATGGGAATTTATTTTCAGGTCCTAATGAAAGTACCAAATCACGCGCGGTGCAGCAAAGAGATACGGTGGGACAGGGCATGGGAAGGAACAAGCACAGCCTTCAGGCTTTTTTGTTTGTTTGTTTTTGAACAATAAGCTACCTTTCCCCACTATCGTCAGCTTATATATTGCATCTCATATAACACCCACCTTCCCCGTGATGAGCATGTCCTTCCCCCTGTGCCCTACCATAATAGTTGTTTTCGCTTGCCTAAAGGATCGTATTGATCCATAGCGAGTTGTTTGCTATGGATGTATTTTTATACTGCAAGTGGATGCGTCATTTTTTACTGTTCTCTGTCCTAACAAAAGCAGCCTCATACAAGTCATTTTTACAAGGACTGTGGAACAGGCCATGCTCTATCCAGCGCTGAGGCTGCTCCGATGAGAGCCTGAATGATGTGTCTAAATATAGGTTGGCATTTCTAAACCCCAGAGGATGGCTCTGTGCCTCTTTAGGTTTGGGGTACACCTGTCTTACAGACTCTCATCTCGAGATCTTTCCCAGGTAATTTTTGGAAGCAATGGGAATGACGGTGGAGAAGCTCTTGCCTTCAATCTCTTTTCTGATTGTGGTTTTTCAGCTCTCCCCCTTACACATCTCCGTCGGAATTTGGCTCGTTGGCTCTCAGCTGAGTCCGTGTGTTGCCATGAACTATTGATTTCGGTTGCCTTACCCCTGATTTGTGTTCATGTCAGCTGAGAGGAGACTCAGGTCAGCTGGCTTGTTGCTGCAGGTGCTGACCCACTGTAAAGCTTTTAAATAACAGCACATCTTTAGTGAGTATAAAGCTCATACCTGCATTTACATCTACTGCCATACTTCTGACAACCTCAGATGGTGACGTGATGACCTGAAGTGTTAGATCCAAATTTTGTATGGTCATGCAGTTGTAACAATTAGAACAAGCTCTTAGGTAATTAAGGATGCCAAAATGATGCATTGTAATGTGTTGGATGCCATACCTTGATCTGACTGCTATTTAGAGGTGGATTTCCATGCCCAACAAAATGAGGAATATGGCACAGGGAAGCACAGCGAGGCACAGTTTGCAGCTCTAGTGATGAAATCAAAGCTCCAGAAAAGACAACATTATGTTTTGCCAGTCACAGTCAATCATAACATTTTCTGTAGTTTCCCAATGCATTTACTGAGCTGCATGCAGTGGAAAACGGTGGGTGACAAACAAAAACGATCAAAAAGAGCCCTATTAATTTGCTGTGCAGAAGCACGTCCTGCTCAGAGGTGTCGAGCTCGTTGGCCTTCTGCTAAAACGCGCAGGTGGAGATCTCTCGCAGAGCCACCACGCAGGGCTCCGGGAGCCCTCGAGGAGCAGGAGACTGAAGAGGAGAGGAGCAAGTGTGAAATTACCTTTTTTTGCCATCATCGCTAGTTTGACCAGTCTGTGGGTGGCGTGTAACGAGCTGGTCTGATTCATTTATTCCAGTTCTATCACCCAGAAGCAGAAACAATCAAAAATCTTTCAAGAGGGTCTGCTTTCTTGAAATAACCACATTTTTTCAAGAAACCAGGATAAAGCCTGTTATGTTATTCTTTGAAAACAGTGGGGAAAACTTGTGTTTTCTTCAGAGGGGTTTGGCTCAGGCTCACAAACAGGTTCCCATAGCACTTGCCTGTGTTTTGGCGTTGAATTTCCAATTCTTTTGAGATTTTCCCATTAAAGTCTCCCATTGCTTCAAAAATGTATATCAGATGTAATTTAATGAAGGGTTTGGCCTTTCCTATTGAAGTTGGAAGTTTATAAATTTAACTTTGCCCTGCCAACGTTACTTTTCCACAGACTGTCCCAAACAGGCATGGTGTGGCATTACTAAAGGTACTTGCTACAGTTACAGCCCCTTCATCTCACTGTGATACTCACTTCAAGGATGTTTGCGACTATTGAAATGCTAGTATTTAGTATTGAGCGAAACAGTCAAAGAAAAACACTCAGCTGGAGACAAATAACTTTCTTTTTACAAAAAAGAATCCAATGTCTTTATGTTCCACTAAAGACTATTTTGTCCAGGAATAGGTTCAAACCCTATTGCTTTTTCCACGTGCATTTTTCCTGATCACGTGTAATATCTGAGCACTTCATAGGGGTAGTTATCAGATTTAGTTACCCTCAGTCTTGCTGAGGAATATTTTATGCCATAAATCATTTCATTTCTTCCAAAATCTTTTCTGGGGGAGAAAATTATTATTCCCCAAATTCAAATCCAGCCTTTAGTCAAAGAATAATTTGTATAAACTCTAGCAGGTAGATTTTGCTATCTTTGGCAAGAGGCTGAGTAGAGGTTGAATATTTTATGATCACGTAGGTTATAAGTGCTGTCATTGCTTCAGTAAGACTTTTTATAGAGGGAGATTCTCTGCTGGAGTAAACCCCTAGTACAGATAAGTTGCAGAACTGCTGATTTCCAAGAACTAGGAATTTTAATTGAGTATGAAGAAGATAAAATATGGGTTTTGCATTAAGTCTTCCTATAAGTAGCATGCAAAGCATCTGTCAGAGCACTTGTGATAAAACAGCGTCCCATATAGGCATATATAACCCATTGATTAAAGTCTCTGCAAAGTAAATTTCTCCCACTCCCCCTTGAATATCACTACTTTGTTCTGTGGTGTGCTGGCAACTTGATGTACCATTTTTAGTAAAGGTCGATTTATTTTTGAATCGTCTGATGATTAGCATCAGAATGGCGCTACTGATGCATGCCAGCAAGATGCCTTCTTTTGAGCCGCTTCCCAAATGTGAACATCAAGGTAGCTGTCTGATGCGAGGTCATACATATGTCGTCCTTACTCAGTAAACTTTAGGTCCATAGGTATATAAACATGTAAAAGTGCACAGCACCTTTAACTCACTGGCCTGTAAGTTGTTGATGCTGGAGGATTGCACAGCAGGCTCTGTAGCTTGAAAAGCGTGGGAATTGATTTTATTCAGTTGTCGCCAATTTGTCCCATAATTTTCTTCTCACTTGTCTCCTTTGATACTAGTGCAGTTTGTCTCACCTTGTTCCTTAGTGCAGGCTGAGGTAAAAAGCTAAATCAGCTAAAAATAAATGAGCAATGTAATATTCACATCAACATCAATATGTTTAGTTGCTCATAACATATCGTAGTGAGGCAGATCAATAGTATGTTTCAAATATAATCTAATATATAAACATATTTAAGCAAGCAAAAGTGTGTCTTATGAATACAAAATGCATCTTTATGCAGGGGTCCTGGGTCATATTTTGGTCTCTATCATAAATACGTGTTAACCCCAGGAACTGGGAAGCCTTAGGACCATTCTAGGGGTAAAAATGCTTTCTGAGCCTCCACTAAAAATCAGTAGATATTAAAAACATTGGGTTTTTTTAGAAGGAACCCATCAAAGAGGCTGGAAATAAGTGTTTAAGTTATGGAAATGTTCCTATTTTTTTCCTTCGTATGGGCATAGATGAAGGACATCGGGTTAGCTTCCAATTTACGTTTGAAAAAAATGCATGGCAAATTGCTTCGGGAAAAGAGAAAGAGAAAGCATCACAATAATTTATTTAACTGCCTAAATTATAGACAGCAAGTTTAGTATCATATTTATGGTACTAAAAATACTCCCGTTAAGGTACGCAGTAGCAATAGAGCTATTTTGCTTGAAAAAGGAATCCATTGTAACGGCGTTTTGCTTGGCTCCCAGCAAAAGGAGTGGCTTTAAAGACGTTCTCCGCTCCATCTCTTTGCAGTCGGCAGATACGACCGCTCTGAGTCACACCGTGACAAGTCTGAAGCCAAACACCATGTACGAGTTCTCCGTCATGGTCACCAAAGGTCGGCGGTCCAGCACCTGGAGCATGACCGCCCACGCCACCACCTATGAAGCAGGTACGGCAAGAGCTGCTGGAAGGGCTTTCTTTGGGTTTTTTTATTTGTCATCAAAAGCCTTGTTCAAGTTCATCCTAACTCCATAAACCGACAGCGTATGTGGAAAATTAACTGTATTTCTTCACTTTTTTCCATGGGTAGCAAAGCAGAGCAGTCATTCTGCTGAGCTCTGGTGTCATTGCAAGAAGTTAGGAGATGGTAGTACGTGTGTGTAATACTTTGCCCCGTAATATAATGAGTATTTGTGACTTTTAATGCTAATGATTTAAAATAGTTTTCACTTTTCAAAGAAACCCAAGGTCAGGCGAGAACAATTATTCTCTTATTATTAGATACTACTAGATTTTGCTGCTTTAAAATTTTGACTTAAAAAGTTCTGTGTGTCTCAAGGTCATGAGTTCCCATCTTACCCAGTTAGTGAAAAGGACTCGGTGACTGCTTCTATCTAATGCACATGCTTCTTGAGTCAAGAACTAAAGGGATGTGTTTAAAAACTAACCAACCGCAGGTCTGATCATAAAACTATGCGGACACATTTTAGCTGTTTGCTGTACACTGTGCTGGTGACCAGCGCATCGGTCTAGCCAAGACCTACGGTCAGAGTTACAGCAACTGAAACGGTGTGTGCAAAACCGGAGGCAGACACAAACGGGGGGACAAAAAAAGTCAAGTGAGCAGTCTTTTCAGCTTGCGTATTATTTATTGTAAAGACACAATTATCTACCCTGTGCGAAATGTTGACTTGTGTAAATGCCCTGCTGACAGTTCGGTAAGGCGTCTTTCCTATGCTCGGTGTTTTTATACATCTGTATTTCGCTGCCAGCAAGCAGCCATTGTTAAGATTAACAATATGCTTATAATAAACAAATACACTTTGAAGGCTTCATTTAGCTGCTCCTCTCAAGCCTTTGAGTGGTATTTTCCAAGCAGGAAGCTATGACCTGAAAGGTACTTCAGATTCTGAAGGGGACTAAATGCAGTTTTGATAACAGACACCAGATACATATTATATGTAACCCTAGCTCAGTGGGATAAAAATATTTGAAAAGAGATGGAGAGGTCATGATCTCTGCAGATAAGAACATCCTCTCCGAAACATAATTGTTTCTTTCTCTTTTGTGTGCCTTCAATTAACTGCAGTAGGGAAATAGCATGCCTGGGCTTTACTTCTAGTTATCACATGGGCATTAATGGAAGCACGTATCCTGTTCCCTAGACTGTCTTTAAACAAGGGTAGGGTCTTCCATTAAATTTGCATCTTTTAGAATAAGCTATTGACCCCCCCTTTTGAAAATCCCGAGTCGATTTGCTTTTAAATGACTTCACTGAACGCATGAGGCTGTATACCGCAGAAATACTTTATGATTGCCTATATATCTTGCTATAGTCCCTAGTGCATAGATAAGAGTGTCTGTGGTTTTGCTCAAAATATTTTTCTTCTTCCTCTGTTGTAGACAGCAATATGTACATTTTCCTGAGGGTGACTAGTGGCCTTGAAAACACTCTAGGTGCCGTTACAAATCAGTTTCTACCAGCAGATACCAAATGAAGTCTGCTGGTAAATATTGATTTGTTGGGGTTTTTTTAAATGAAAACCACAGTACACGCCGGTTAATTAACAAAGGGAAAATAAAAGGGAATATATGTGTCCTTAGATTTTCCCATGTGATTGCAATGCAATTATCTGAGCTTGATGGAGCAGCTCTGTTAATTAAGGGTATCCTGCACTGCTGATCTTTATTGCCTGTTTTGTACCCATTCTGCATGTTGAATTTCCCGTAATGATATTAAAGAACATACATATCAGCATCGATACAGAATTCACTGGAGATTACTACCATGGCTAGGGAGAGTTGTTATGCCCATAATTCAAAAGCAACTCTCAGAGCCAAGTTCCATCCCCAGATCTGCCTACACAAGTCTTACTGATACGAAGGGTGTTAATGAGTGCTAAGGGAAACATCTAAAGCTTTGATTTTTCTCATGGTATCTTATGTTCACAGTCTGCTGAAAGCAGAGCTCAACTTCAGCCGCTCAGCGGGACTCAAGTGGTAATCACCAGCATGGAAAGCCTATGTTACAGAAAGGGGCTCACAAGCTTTACTATTTTAACCTCACGAAAGACAGAAAGCCTAGGAAGGGAAAGGGTTAGTTCATGAAAACATGCCAAAAAGGGTTAATATCAGAAAACGGAAAACAGTGTTTAAGATAAAAGTGCTGTTTGCATACAGGCAAAGAGGATGCACTGTGGTAGAAATACAATCATTTATGTTACGCTGGAGAATATTGCAGAATAGGCTTAGCAAAAGTAAAGAGAAGGAAAATTTTTGTTTTAAAATCAAGTGTGATTCGTGTATGAAAAGGGTTATCTCTTGCAGGTCCCTGAAATAGCAAGGCAGTCCAAGGTGTTTCTTTTAGTACTTCAAACTGATAAGCCAGTGTCCCAAGCTGGCTATAAGCTGAATAGCTTTTAAATGCAACACAACCCTCTCAAGACATAATAATAATAATAATAATAACAATAAGAAGAAGGAGAAGAAGCAGCAGCAGCAATAATGACAATAACAATAATGCAAACTTCCCTAGCAGTGTGGGAGCTCACATCATGCTGGGCATTGCCGAGGGTTAAGAGACTTCTCAAAGGTCTGTGAGCTTGTATTGTGGCCTGCCTGCTTCAGGCTAAGAAAGATGCTTCCAGCGAGGAGCAGCTACTGAGACAAGACTGAAGTGAAACACTGGGAGTCCCATTGGTGCTGGCTCTGGACATACCAGACTGAACGTGTTGTTCCAGCACATAGAGCAAAGAGATAATCCACCACAAATCTGCCACAAAGAAATCAGCTGCTTAGTAGTGTAACAATGGTTTTCTGTGTACAGATTTCTTGGTTCCTTTCTGGCTCCCACTTTTGAAAGGTTCAACTGATGCAAATACCATGAGACCATCCGCCCAGTGTTATTTCAAAGGGATCAATTCCTTGTGACCAGAGCCTGTACGGCAGCTGGCTCTTCCCTTCCTTCTTGTTGAAGATCACTGAATGTTCATCACCCTGCAGATTTGTGTCTGCGCTTTCGATCGGACTGGTTTAGCTCAGCACGATCCAACAGATTTTTAAAGCTTTATCTCGTAAAGTGACTGCAGCAGTTCTTCGAACGTTCAAGAAGGTTGTTTAGTGGCCATATGGGTAGGACACAGATGATGGGATGCTCGTACACTGTGTTCTCCACGCTGTTATGCTATCTGTATGCTCTAAGTCATCAACAGCCTGTATCAAAACTAAGTAAAGGAACAATGAGCTCAGCGCCAATATATTACTCCTCTCTCTCAACTATTTTTTAATAACTGCCCATTTTTCCTTTCTCCTCCACAGTTTTACGATATGATTTTAAAATATCTGAGATGCTGTGCAAGACCTATGGCCAGTATTAGTAAAGCAGGGTGCAAAGCAGACACTGCAGGCTCAGAAATCCAACCTTCCGTCTTTAATGCAATGGAAATAGAAAAGCTAAGAATTATCATGTCTAAAATGTCCCAAGCTGAGCATATATTTAATGAATATCCACAATTATATTTGTTTTATACTGGTACATACCTACAAATGTTCCTAATAGAGAAGCCACAATGTTATTACTGTTATTAACTGTGTAGGGCTGCCAGAGTATATTAGATGTTCTTGGATACCTCGGTGGTTGTTTAGCTGTAAGGACCAATATTAACGGTAAGAGGATAAGAACCATCCACCAAATCCTAATGTATTCACACACAGTATTTTGTACAATTGCCACTATTAAAATATCACTTCTAGACAAATCATATGTTACATGTTTGAAATGCATCTAAGGACACTCGCATTTGAAAGCGGTAAATGCCTACTGAGTAGTTCATGCCTGCTATGGTGTGTAAGGAATTCAAAAGAAGGTAACTTCTGTTTCCAATTATTTTCACTATTTTCAGCTCCCACCTCTGCTCCCAAGGATTTGACAGTCATTACACGGGAAGGGAAGCCCCGGGCCGTCATTGTCAGCTGGCAGCCGCCGTTGGAAGCCAATGGAAAAATTACTGGTAAACATTTACATTATCCTGCATTCTCCTTTTTATTTCGCCGTTCTGATCATTTGCTGCTTTCATTCCCTATTTTCTGTGGAAACATCTCTGGTTTTTTTCTAGAATGCTATTTGACATGACGTTATTTTATGTTCTTTTACTTTTATCAGCCAAGTTGGTCTAGGATTCAAGGCAATGTTAGGAATACTGCAAGATCTATAAGTCAGAGGATGTAAATCTTTTATTTTTAAATGCGAAGAGTGGTAATAATAAGTTTTAAAAGGCAGCACTCTAAGCAAAGGTTTTGTGGTACGTGCTGCTCAATGATAATTAGAAATGACTAATAGTATTTTGTTTGGCAATAATGCAATACACAATATACATAATGATAGGTTGCTCAGTGCAGCACATAATGGGAGGGTTTATTGGTAGATATTTAAGTTTACAGTAACAATTTAAGGCAATGATGATCAGGAAAAAAACCTCAATGTTGACTGACAAGAACTGAACTTAGTAGATGCTTCACAGTGACAGGTTTTATTTTCCAAAATATTGCACATAACCTTAGTGCCTAATTAAGAAATCCATTACAAACTTCTACTGTTAATTTAGTAGAGTTCTATCTGAAATTTTGCATTTAAATGATCATTTTGGTCTGCTAATAGACATCTGAGAAGCATATAATTATTAGGAGAAATATTGTTCATCTTCAAAAATGTGCACGTTATGTTCACATTACTACAAACAGTCGGGTTAGACCAGTTCTACAACATATTTTTGTGTGGCAGAAAGTGTGCGTACGTCACCGTTACTGCTAGTAATCCCAGCACCACGCTGCTGAAGCATGGAGAAATATCGGTGTGAGGGGGAGAATGCTTCAGAACGACGTCCCGTGTGAGCCATTAGCAGGCAAGAGCACTGGGTCAGGTTTTAACAGCTGTAACTCAGCAGGGCTTCACTGGCGTCAGATGAGCTGTTGTGAGTTACACCAGGGAAGTATCCCACTTCATGTTACCAATAAAATAAGGATATATTTCCTTGTGGAAATATATCGCCCAGCAATAACGATTCCTAGGTTAGACTTGCATAACTCTGCATAATTTCACTCTACATTATCATCAGCACTTTACAATCCGTGACCATGTCGGAAAGGAGGGTGTTTTGATGAAATGGCTCTGTTTACACTAACCTAATTTAGCCGTTAGAGAGAAGAAACGATCATTCTGATGGACAGCACACTGAGATGAGTGCTAATGGTCCTGATTCCCTATGAATAAAAGACAAAATAAAATAAAAGCTTTCCTGACTTCCAAGGCGTGAAATGACTCCGTGGTAGCAACTTTATATTACAGAGTTTTTCCATTGACAGCAGCATTCAGACCTGAGAGCAGACTGGGTCCCCTGACATCCATGTACACACTTCTTTCTTGTAGCACGTGGTTGAAGAATGACTCTCATAGGGATTTTTTGCTCCATGTGTGGTCAAATGTTGCTTAGACATATCAAGCAGAGGAAACAACTCCTTGTGGAAAGCAGAAATGTCCCTAACAACCAAATCTTCACCCCTACAAATGCTTGAGCGAATGTGTTTGTGTTAATTTCAGAAACATATGTGGTTTTTTTCATAACTTTTTATATATATATAAATCCACATATCATGGTCAGCAAAACTGCTTTAGTAATCCCAAACTACAATCCTCTAAATAAAATCCCGTAATATAAAATAAGCAAACCCTCCTCCCCCCCCAAACCATATCATTTCCATCCTAACACTGCTTGTCCATGACCAGTGTAACCGTTCATGTGGAATGAGTTTGGAAAAGCATCTTTGTTTCAGAAAAGAACAGGGAAACAGCAATAATAAGGCTTACACCAATTTCGTAGTAACTTTGGATCCAGGCACAAAGATGAAGTCCAGAAGATCTGCTCGGTCCCTCTCTGCTCCAGTAGCTCACTCCTGCGACATGGCACTTAAGACTGGACTCACAGTGGGGGTTTTGCATATAAGTAATTTACGAAAGAAAAAAGGAAAAGAAAAAAGGAAAAGAAAACATTTTCAAATTTGGGCAGAGGCCAGTGTTGCAGGTCCCCAGCTGAGGCCGGGTTGGCACAGAGGGTGTGCCGGACTTCTCAGCCTTTCCTACAGGCTTTTATCTTCCCAAAATTTCGTGTGCTGGCAAGGTAATTCCTACAAACTATTAACATTTCCTAACACTGGTACTAAAAAGGAAAAGAAAAAAGGAAAAGAAAACATTTTCAAATTTGGGCAGAGGCCAGTGTTGCAGGTCCCCAGCTGAGGCCGGGTTGGCACAGAGGGTGTGCCGGACTTCTCAGCCTTTCCTACAGGCTTTTATCTTCCCAAAATTTCGTGTGCTGGCAAGGTAATTCCTACAAACTATTAACATTTCCTAACACTGGTACTTCTACTCTCTAAGTTCTAAAACTTACAAGTTTTATTCAGTGGTAAGTAGTTATTGTCGTACTCTAAGTTACCGGAATTTTTAATTCTTCATTCTTTTCCCCAAAATACTTTCCCCTGTAGTTACCAAGAAATATTGTATGGCTTCCCATAAGCACCCAGTAATTGATGTGTATCATTGATGCCGTTTAGTTTTATTTCAGCACTGAACCACTAAAGACTTATATCGTGTGGTTTATGGCAGCTGTCAGACGGAATGGTGCACCTGAATTTGAGAAATGCACTTGTAACAGCCTTTTAATGTGTGCTACCTATTTTTATATTTGTTAAATCTATATTTCTTACAGCGAATACTGTAAGCGTGGTTTTGTTCTAAAAATAGACAAATGTGTATTGTCATAACATTCCTCAAAGCTACTTTGATTGGCGACCTGCCATCACTGCTTTTAAAAAGAAACCCCTGATTTTTAAGAAATCTGATTTTTATATGTGTTTCCTAACGGAAGCACGTTAAAATTTGATTGCAGTACTAACTGAGAGACTGTGTTTATTCAGCTTACATCCTCTTCTATACTTTGGACAAGAATGCTCCAATTGACGACTGGATTATGGAGTCCATCAGCGGCGACCGGCTCACCCACCAGATCATGGACCTCAACCTGGACACCGTCTACTACTTCAGAATCCAAGCTCGCAACGCCAAGGGAGTGGGACCCCTCTCCGATCCTATTTTCTTCCGGACGCTGAAAGGTTTGGATCTGTGTCATCTGGATATTAATGATACATAGAATTTTCTAATGCCTCTGTGGGAGCTTTGCAATTAATTCCATGTCAGCCAGAAGAGATCCTACTACTTGAAACTGTTATTGAGAGATAAAAGCAAAATGGTACATACAGTAGTTGACAAAAGTAAACCACATAATGAGGCAGTAACTATATTTTAAAATTCAGTCAGCTGACACCACCTAACTTTCTACCATCAATAATAAAGCTAATTGGATCTGACTGGATTTCTCTAGGGAGGTCCCTTTTCATTTTGGATCCTCTGGTGACTGTAGGAACCTGTAATGACACTCCTATCATCAGAGTAGGCATGCAAAATTATGATTCAAAATCTCAGCAAACTGAGATGCAACTTGACTTCGCGTGGGCAAAGTTGTTCCAGAGATTTTTCAGTACCCATTATTAACAGATTAATTAATACCTGATCCCTCTCCCTTAGTGACCAGTGAGAAGGAGCAGGCAAAACAGGGGCACCCATTTTTTTTGGCTGGTATTTCAGTGCCAACGTGTTTATGAGAGCAAAGGACTGCACTTGTATTAGACTCAATTTCAAATTAACGTGGAGAGATACTCCTCTTCTCTCTTCCCCGCTGCCTGTCTGTGTGAGGCCCTGACGTGATCTACCCAGAAATTATTAGTTATGAAGATGTAAGCAATATTACCGTGAGTGGGAAGCAGGGTGCTTGCCGCAGCTCTGCTCCTTATATTTTAACTGTCACTCATTCATTTGCACAAAGGTATGAAATTACTTTTAAAAAAGACATGTAATTAATGAAAAACTCAAATGGCATAAACAGCGAACCTATTCCAGGAAAGAAGCATGGCGTATGAGAGAGCACGTTATCGCCGTGTCTTCCCTAGAGAAAATCCAGGGATTTGTATATAAAAATAACATCTTGGCAGAAGGTAATTGAAACTGGATGCAGGCTGGGCTTGAGAAGTCACGACTGGAGAGAAATGAGGGAAATTCAGACTCAAACCTGCGCCTGAGAGGCTTGGAATTAGCGTTCACGCTCAAGCCTCCTCTTAACCCGTTAGAAGTGACCTCATTTAACGCGAGCTGTGCAAAAGCCAAGCCAAATGACTGCGCAGGAGGGGTGACGCACCACCCCACATCATTCCCTTTGGGGGATTTGTTTGTTTGTTTGGCGAGAGCTTGTATCTGAATTTGTCTTTCAGCAAACCTTCATGTGAATAGCAAATTTTTCTGCTGCTTCTGAGGGAAGGAGGGGAAAGTCCATTTTCAGCCATTAAGGAAGGATTTCAATGAAGGAGCCAGTGTCCTCAAGCAGCACTGGCAGAGGGCTTGCCCTTTTTGCTGCACTGATACCGGCGTCCCTAAAGCATGCTATCGACCATTCAGGCTGGGAGTGAAAAGCCTCATACAACAGTTTTCATGCATTAGCAGGAGTCAGAAAAAAAATGAAAAATTGTATCAATTTGTTCCGAGCTTATCACCGCCTGCCCAGGTTTGCAGGACTTACTTGTCCAAGTCATGTTTCACTTTGAATGAATTATTGGTAAGATCCTGATTATTCATTCTCCACTGCCATGAAATGTGAAGAGATAGCACTTTGCGGGTGCTTCATCTCTATCAAGCGGATGGTGCCAACTTAATTTCATGCTTACAATTTGTGCCAAGCAGAAGTAGTCTATTAGGCTGAGTTTAAAATGAGTCAAGGCATCAAAATATAACAACTGCGGACTAATGAGATACGAGAAGTCATAGAGACCCAGATATCTAACTAAACCAAAAGATTAATGCACTTGATATCACCTACTTTGTAACGTTTACACAAAGTACCATAAAACTCATTTGGGAGATGAATTCTAGATCAGACAGCATCAACAGATACCAAAAAGATGAATTTATACATTTGTTACATCTTGTAATAGCCTACAAGGACTACGTCTAATGCCCTGCCATGAATACTTAATGATATCCACCCTAAATATGTCATGTTCAATAATACTCAACTGTTTTTTTTGACAAATCTATCCCTACACTTGCGGTGAAAAGACTTTCTGAAGTCTTGAGTGCATTCTGAATTACGCAAAAATGTTGGTTTCCTGCCCTTAATGATTACTAACAGAAGATGTATATGTGCCATATGGTAATGTGTGCTCTGATGGCAAATCTATGTCCTGATCAGAGGGAGTTTTAAATCACGAGGAACTAAACAAGCATCAAAGATCCACTAAGTCACCCGCTGTCTCGTTTCATATGTTGTAGCACATAAAGCTCCTCCAAGGAAACCAAGCCATTACTTGTGTTGTAATTGCGATGCGAGTATTTGTAGTGACTTTCCTTTACTAATGAAAATGTAGTGATCTGTGAGGAGGAGAGATGTTGAGTAGTAAATAACACTACTACAGAGCAATGAGTTTATATTCTTCCACCTCCATCAGCTCCACTGATGATAATATACAGGGAAATGGGCACATCCTTAGCTTATGTAAATTGTCGTTACACTGTGAACTTCAATCAATCTACGACAGTTTACATCAGCTGAGGATCTGCTTTTTTATGCTCTGGCTGGTTAAATGTATCACTTAAAGCATGAAGAATCTGATACGTTCTCAGGGACCTGGAATAGAAGGATAAAATGTCATTGAACATCCCCCTTTTTTTTTGTTATATAATTTGGGCCAAAATTTGAGGTAGTTGCTAGGATTTTTCTTACTCCTTACTGAGTCTGGATGACTTCAGTAAATATTATGTATACATATATATGTATATGTGTATATGGAAGAGAAGCAGAGAGTGCCCCAATAGTATGTGTATTTTGCAGCCTTTCGCAGTGTATTGTCACGGATTGCCCCTGAAGTTAAATTCCAACTCTCAATGTTACATTACTTTTATGGCATATGAGTTTTCAGAAATCTGTTAAGTTGCAGAAGTAAATAAATAGTCTGAAATTTATTTGCAACTGCCCACTGAAACATGACAACTAAAGAGTGAATGAATGAACCAGTGACAGACAGACGGGAAGGAGGATTTCCTCAATCTTTTCAGTAACTTGTCAGTGATTTTTTTTTTCATCGATTGCAGAAACAAGCAACTCTCAGAGCTGCACTTGCTAAATGTGCTTATGCTTTCTTCTGCTTAGCCATACCTATTCTGGCTTTCAGCCAGCATTTACAAACAGACCTTCCTTGAGTGCCAAGCTCCTTTAATTACAGAAAATTAGAGAGTGGTATTCTGCTTATCGGAATCACACAAAACACTACATCAATACATATAAACTGAAAAAAGTTGCCTGTTAATGCACCTATAGACATAACGTCAAGCATGAATAAAACACTGGATCAGATGTGGTTTTAAAGGGATGAGTGGAAAGGGGGAGAGAGAAGGAGGAAGAGGCCATGGGCTGAGCGTCAGTACACTCTCATTCATTCCCAGCGTGCTAAGGTGAGCAAGGAAAGCTGTATTCGTGGGCTTCCCACAGGACACCAGGTCACAAGTCGCTGCCGTACCATTTCTAAGAGAGCCCTGAAATTGCCGATGATGCTGGTCCCTGCCTTGACCCCCCTTTTGGCAGAGACGGCGTGGGGCAGCATTTCTAGCCCTGCAGTGCCCTCTAATGCTGCCTCGGCGTCGTGGTTCAACAGCGCATCCTGGTTCATAACCGGCACCAAACGTGAGCCCCCGGGGCCTGCCAGAAGCAGGTCTTACCCCCCCGGGCTGCGGCATTTCGTGGCACTGGAGGTGTCACGGGCTTCGCCTCCTCCATCGCCTGGAGAAGGCAGCAAGCGCCGAGCGGTGCCAGGGCAGCGTCGAAGTGGCATCGGCGCTCGGACGGAGGTCACGAGCAAGGTTTCATGTTTTCATGAACACATTTGTCCTGAGGGAAAGGCGATAACCTGAGGTATGGCTCAGCGGGGAAGCGCAGGCTCACAGATTTCTAGAAAGTTTGAGGCAATGTGCTCCATGCAGCCTGCTTCTCTGCATCCACGTGGAAAAGTCGGGGGGGGTGGCGGAAATTAACTGAGGGTTTGGGGATCATCAGAGGAGTTATTCTGCCTCTGCCACAGGCATGGAGCTCATAGATGTGTCTGTAAACGTAAATTACTGTTAGTTCAGTACCTCCATTTGTTCCTAGCGTGGTGCCACGATCTAGAGGAGGTTTTGTCGTGATTTTAGCAGCGAGGGGAGCAGCATGCTCTGCACCTGCAGGCAATGGTTATTTGACTTCCAGATTCATGTGCCAAATCACTTCTTTTTCTCCCAATTTCCCGTACTTAAGATTCTTGCATAATTTATTAAGCGGAGGACCAGTTAATGCTCTATGATGGTAGCTACTTATGAATCCAAGGAAAGTTTAATTCCCTCAGCCATATCATAAATAGTCAGAAGTTGTAGCTGTGCAGGAAAGCTTTTAATATATCTTGAATTTTGAAGTCGTCCGGTGCACCTCAGATCACGCTATCTTTTATGGTTATTATGCACAAACGTGTAAATAGTTTTAAACCCCTTTGTAAAAAACTGAAGCAATGATAATATAAGTCAGACTGAGCTTTCAACTTGTAGGTGATTTGACTGTAATTATTTAAAGCAGCAGCGTCTCTCTATCTTTCCCTTCTTGCTTAATTAAACTTCCCAGATCATACAGAAAAAGAACAAGAGAATGAAAAAATGCTGCGGTAAAGGTTTCACATTTGTAAGAACTTGGTGAAAATATCTGATGTAAGGCATGGTTCAGCCTGTGTTCAGAGTTCAAGGAGCGTCTGGACGACGCTCGTAGCCAAATGGTTTAGTTCTGGGCAGTCCTGCCAGGAGCAGGGAGCTGGACTCCAGGCTCCTTATGGGTCCCTTCTAGCTCGAGACACTCTGTGATCCTATGGTTCTATGATTCTGTGTTTGTCCTCTCAGTTCTCCAGGATCTCTCTGAAAAAGGGAACGGTAAAACTCGTCGGCCCGCGGTGCGGGAAGGCGGCACCGCGCTGCGCCAGCCCGCGGACACGGTAGTTGATGTGACGTGTCGGCTTGTCTGCGAGGAGCTGTCAGCCTCTAATGACATTGTCTCTTTCTTGCAGTCGAGCACCCTGACAAAATGGCTAATGACCAAGGTACGGTGCCCTCAATCTGTCGCCTTTTCTGCCGGAGCCTCGGGGGCGCGCCGGGGAGGGGGCCGCGCTTTTCACCTGGGCTGCACACCTGATGAGGCAGACGCTGGCGTGATAATTAATCTTGTTAATGAAGTTCTGCTCGGCTGAGGCTGCTGCTTTGATGGGGAAGATGTAAATTTTCGGGAGAGGAAATTGTTTTGTCTCTTTTCTGAAGGACCAATTAAAACGTCAAGCTTCTTTGTATGAAATAAATTCTTAGTCTCTCTGCTGCACTTCTGAATAATTCACATTAAGTATAATTAAGCTCAGCATAATTTCCAGGCTCCTCTTGCACCCTTTCGTGGGTTATAGATTAAAGTTCAAAAGCCTCCCAGTGAGAAATCATAAATCATCTTTTCTCTCAAACCAGCAGCTCCTGTTTAATAACAGCAAAGTTTAGTCAACTTTTCAAGGCATTATCATTACGTTTTCCAAATATGAATATATGTCTGATTAGTCACAGGTCCTCTGCTCCTGTCTTCCTTCGAATACTCGTGAAGTCTGTTGCTAGGATATTTTCTCCTTTTTTTACTTTAGACCTATTTATTCCTAAGTATTTCTTTCAATTACAGCTAGAGCATTGTACATTTATGTGACATCTGCCCAAGGAAACAGTCACGGTGACATTTGGAAAATGCAGGCCTGATCTTGGGAGGTTTATTTGGATTTGAACTCTCACTTCACGCTGGTTTGGAAGGCAAAGTGAGGCAAACCTCAAATCCCTGGCTTCACTTAACAGCTACCATCTTACCCCAATTTAGTGAGTTGAGTTAACTTGCAATAGATAATTCCTAGGGAAGACAAGAAAGCGTTATTTAGAAGATCAAAGTCAACTCTAGGCCCTTTCATGGGTTTTACTTTGACCTGGAGCATCCCTGGAGGTAACCCAGAGCGTATTTCTTCACTAGGATTTTACTTAGTACCAGGTACCACATATAGTCCCACAGCAAGGTAGCACATTGGAGAGACCTGCGTGCAGCCGGTTTTGGAAATTCACCTTCTGATTTCAGTGTATGATTTGCTGAAAGGAGTAGAAGTTTACAAATTGTAAAATTAAAAGCTGGTTTTGCTCAGTATTATTTTTTGCACCACAGCGCCCACAAATTGAAATTGTCAGGTTTGAATAGATAAAAACTGTTTTTAAAGGGTAAAAGTGTTCAATTACAAAGAAGCCTGAATGTAAATTGTCAGTATATTTTTTCTCAAATTTGCACTTAAAATGTTTTCAGGCAGGTTTGGAAAACCTAGGAGAGGCTTCAGCACAGGGTACCAGCTGGTGAGCAGGACTGAAAAAGTGTCAAGTTCAGTTGGGGAAAAAAAAAAAAAAGGGAAAAAAAGTGAAGCTGGATGGAAAGCAGAGTTTGTGGTTTAGTTCTTCACTGAGTGTGTTGCTGTGTTTCAGCATAACTCCGTGGTTGTATGGCCATACAGTAGTGCTATTTGATGGAGCTCATGGCATAGGACATGGAGCATCAGCCTTCTCTGCTGATTGTGATTTCCAGTGGCAAAGCCAGCACCAGTCACAGCGCGCTGCCGGGCATAACCTGCTGTAGCTGTCGTAGGACAACCACTCCTACAGACATGGTCCATTCTTTCTCAATACTTGTCCCACATCTGCTCATGAAGCAGATATCTGAGAAAGCCGCATCAGGCTTGTTCCTGAGTTTCTGCTTGCTTCTTTCCATGTAACGCTGCAGAAAATCCAGGTTTGTTGGATGCGCTACATACTACTTTCGTGATGCTTTATGGGAGGAAAAAAAATATAGGAAATGTGGAAAAGCGTTTCTGTGTTCCATAGCGTGGTGAACTCACGTCCATCACAAGGATATAAAGAATCAGATCCTCTGCAGAGAGACCTGCCAATCCCACCTTGTGCTGTAGTTTAGTTCATGGGGAGATGTAAATAAGCATGACGGGTCAAGTGCAGCTACGCTGTATATGGTAGGTGAATACATATTCCTCAAACTACCACAGAAAAAAAGAGGTCTGGGCCATTTTCCGTTTGTGCATCATGTTCCCCTGGGAACGCTGTGCCCCTTGCTAGGGTTTTCCTTGCTACGGAAAAACTGTCACCGGAATGATTCATTGTTCTTGTACAGCCTGAACAGCGTTTGCAACCTTTTTAGTGAACAATACTCCGTATAGACTTTAAAACAGGAAAGATTTCAACCAGTCTTGTGTAACTACTTGCAGCGTGATGTCTGGCTGAAGCATATCCCCAGGGTATGTCCCAGGGGACACACCAACATCCCAACAGCGGTGTGTTGGGATTGCAGCCGTGGCCTGTGAATTCCCGATTGCTTCAGGTATGTTGGGGTTTTTTGATTTGATTTGAGTCAAATAACTTACAAAAATGGAAGCGTGTCTTTAGCAGACAGCGGGTATGCAGAGCATGAGTTAAACACAGTCAGTCTCTCCTCGTACGTAAATACTGTCGTTTGCCTGGGTAGCTGAAATACATCGCTTTTTCGTTCTTCAGGGCTGCAGTATACAAGGAGGAGAAATTCTCAGCCTTTTGTTGTATCTTCCATAGGCTTGTTGATATCTAAATTCAGTTTCCATTTTTACGTGACCTCAGGGATGAACTCTAATCAGACGAAGTCTGAGGTCTTCACTTGCGTCTAGTCGATCTTTAGGCAACTCTGTTAAAGACAAGTCGGTGGGGCTGGGTCTCACTGTAACTGTACTCCAAGCACAAGCATTAAGACAAACAAAGTCAAAGTTTCTAAAAGCTCATTTGCCTTAGAGTTCATCGAAGCTAATTCTTTAATCATCCTGAACCAATGCCTGCTAAAGTCAGTGGGAGCCTTTTAAATTACTCTGTGCTTTGGACAAGGCCCTTAGGGCCATCTCTGCCACAAATGCAATTCTTAGTGAGTGACATGAATTAACTCTGGTAGGTCATCTGTCCCTAATGCCGGCTCGTGGTTCCTGAGTTCAGGAAGCAAAATGCACTTACGTGGCAGCAAAGCACTGTTGGAGGGTGTGGGACGTGCGAGGGGGTTTGGGCAGAGATGCTGAGGTTTGAGGTGGTAGAGCTTTGAAGATCCCAGATGTGGGGGTCAGCTGGAAGGGACGGTACAACTGCTGCCATCCTTAGGTGCAAAAAAGGAGATAGGGAGGAGAGGAGAGTTTAGGGAGAACCTCAAAGATTTCTTGGTCAGGGCAAACGTGCTTCCCGTTGTTGCAACTCCCTAGGAGAGCAGAGACCAGCCGCTGCAAGGCGGGGCTACCACTGGGAAGAGGAAGGAGGCAGGAGATACCTCACCTCCGTTACTTCATTCTTGCCCATGAGGGGTGGACAGAGCTGAGCCTGTCCCGTCCTGTGGAAGCTTTGGTCCGCAGGTGTCTGACAGAGAATGAGAAATCCTGTTGATGAAATGGAAGTAATGCTCCCAGGGTGCAAACTCTGTTATCCGAAGGGCAAAAAGAGGAGCATCGGCATCTAGAGAATCAAATCACGCATTTCCCAAGAGAGCCCTTAAATCTGAAGTGGGTGCCAAGCCCATAAACGCTTCCTTTCAGGTTTTTAATTTGCCCATATGCAACTGGTAGAGCAGGGCATATTCAAAGGTAGTAAAAACGGTAATAAAAAAGTAAGAATAAAATTACAGTTTCAGATGCTCAAGAGAGGATTTTTGTCACAAACCTTATGCATGTGCGACAAGGCAAGTTGCTTGCAGATGAGCTGTGGTAGAGGCTTCCTGGAGTCTAAAAACCTCTTATTTATGATTTTCGTCTGAAATATATAGAGGCAAACTGGGAGAGATTCATTCATTGTGTTTTATCTTGCCCCAGTTTCCATTTGATAAAACAATATTAAATTCTTTAGTCTGTATTTTGTCAATATAGGACTTGTCAACAGTTATGTGTTGCCATCAGAATTAGATCTCTGCAAGAGCAAAAAAAGCCCATATCTGCTTTTGGACTACAAAAGTTTTATAATGTCCCCTGTAAATTTTGATAAAAGGAAGCATACACAATTTTGAACAAATGTCTCTTCTTATCTTAGGAAGTTTCAGTACATATTGATTGTTCAGTTGTTTTCTGAAAATGTACCTCCCATGAAATGGGTCATATAAACTATCTAGATAAATTTGTATATCACTATGGAAAACTGTTACATTTGGAATACAGGTACGATTTTTTTTTTTTTATATATATGACATTACTCTTTTTAAACCATAAACTGGATATTTACAAGTTCAGATTTAATATTTACTGCCATGGTGAGGCCAGTGGGAGGTCTCCTGTTCCCCATGCCTGGAGCAGGGCCAGTGACCATACCCAGGCTCCACAAAAAGCCCGTGGAGAAGATCATCTGAGGCAGAAATCCACAGCTTTTGTTTCCAAATCCCGAGGAAAACGGTGGTCTGTATTGTTTTGCATCCAGTCCGGAGGTACGTGGAAGGGTTCCCAAGTGATGCTGGGGACTTTGCCTCTCTGAACAGGGGATGAACTCTGGGTACTTGACCGCACACCTGCTATTTTACACCTCGGTGCTCTGCATCTCATGAGTTAATCGTGCACCATTAGCTTCAGCTTTCAGAGCAAGAGGGTTTGAAGCGCAGTCTAGTCGTGCCTGGAATTTGGCTTTCTGCAGTTCAACCTTTGCCATGTTGGATTGTTGCAGGCGGGTTGCTGTTCGCCCATTTGAAACCTTCCTGTGCTTGTTTTTCTGCCTATGCCTTCCTGCGTGAAGACGGCTGCCGATACATCTACAGCCTGATATCAGCCCCAAAACAGTCACATCGTCTCATGTTGTGACTGCAGAAGGCGTCAAGTTTGCCTCTTTTTTTCTGTTAAAGCTTTTGATGGCTCCGGGCTCTCCGTTCTGAAGCTATTTTGCAAACTCTGAGTGTAGCAGGAGTGAAAAGATGAGCAGTTCAGATCTTTGAAAAAGATCTGCTTCCTCAACAAATAATGCAGTGGTCTGTAACGCTCTTCGCTAGAGAAAGGAA